GATAAAAATGAATCTTTTGCCATGTTTCCTTAATTAACACCTGTTTAAGAAAATAGCAACTAAGTCCTGGAGTAACACCACAAAATTTTGTGCATTTCAAAGACAATGGCCATTAGATTCTACCATTTCTTCCGAAATCAATGGCTGATCCCATTTGCAGATTGGCCACAAACTATACCAATAAACACGTTCAACTTTTTTCGCTACCTGCAAATACGGTGTTTCCTAAGCGAATCACATAACATAGCCACAGCCACCCTTACACAAATTGAAAAGGCATGTATTCAATCCCCGATGTAAAAGGGACAAATATATTCAATCTATGCCCTCTTGAACTCTGCCTCATCAGTGGACTCCCTCTCATATGTGTCGGACGTCAATGCATAAACTCACCATATATGTGAATCATAAAGAGTAAGCATAATAGCCGATGCTGTGCTGATAGCATACTCCTCTCAGGCTGAAACAAATGGGTCGCTTGAGCTTGGACCTTTGCTGGAAGGGGTGTGAACTGAAGGGAACGTACCTCCACCTTTGGCCATATTTGGTGGGAATGCCCAAGGGCCTCTCAACTTCGGCTCTACATATCTCAACTTTCCTCCAGAATACAACCGGACAACTTACCTATGATTTCCTGGATCTGATCACTCTCAAAACCTCATGGAGACTTAACCAGAGAAAAAATAAATAGACTACTAGCAAAAATAGTGCTAGCCGATTGGGAAAATAATATCAATCCTTCCCTGACAACGGTTATACTGAAAGTGGGCGATAACCAAGAGATTCATGATACAACAAAGGACTTCCAGAAGATTTGGGACCCTTGGCTTCTAAAATACCCAGGTGGTTGTTGGGGGGCTGGCAATAAATGTGTTTATCCCATTCTGTACCCCCCTTTTTCTTTTATTTTTTTATCTTCTTCCTTCAATCAAACCACATTATAAACATTGTATGTTAATTATACCAAAGCTACACATGTTGCCCTCCTATGTTAACCCCTTCAGGACGGAGTCAATAGTGCACGTTCTGATCAAAAGAAAACGTAAACAAAAACTGGAATTTGCACTATATGTCTGTTCACCCGTAATTCACCGCTGTCACATTAAGTGCACCCACACTTATTATATATCATTTTGTTCAGGAGAAACAGGGCTTTAATTTGTCATTAACTATTCATCTATGAAACATAATTTATTAAGAATACAATTTAAAAAATATTTTTTGTTTTTGTGTGAAAATAGCAAAAAACTAATATTTGGCTAGTGTTTGTGACTAAGTGGCTACTAAAAATGACTGGACATACCCCATTTGCAATACCTTGGGTTGTCTACTTTTGCAAATGGTATGCCATCATGGGGGTAATTCTTATCCCTGGGCTACCATACGGTCTCAAAGGCAACATAACCAATCTGGCAAATTTCAATGTCAAAAAAATGAAATGCAAGCCTTTTATGTGACTCTCTAACTTTCCAAAACACAATAAAACCTGTACATGGGGGGTATTGTTATTCTCGGGAGACTTCACTAAACACAAATATTAGTGTTTTAAAACAGTAAAACATATTACAAGAATAATATAGTCCATAAAAGTGCCGTTTGTTTGTAAAAAATGCAAAAAAACATCACTTTTACTTAAAATATCATCGTTGTAATACAATTTACCAGTTTGAAACACTAATATTTGAGTTCAGCGAAGCCTCCCAAGTAAAACAGTGCCCCCTATGTACAGGTTTTATGGTGTCTTGGAGAGTTACAGGGTCAAATATAGTGCTTGCGAATTAAATTCACTGCACTTTCTCCCTGTGTTGTCAGGCATGTCAATCAAATTTTAATATATCAAATCACATAATTATGTTAAAAGATTACTTAAATATACACGTAGAATTTTAATATATATGCATTTATAGTTATTTAAATTCTACGTGTATACTAATGTAATCTTTTATGTAATTATATGTATTTATCTATATATATAAATATATATTTACGGTTATTTGTATTTTATATATAGATATATATAGAATGTCATTCTAAGTGTATTTTGTTACCAATATATATATATATATATTAATAACAAAATACAGTTAGAATGGAATGACATATGAATATATAATTTATATTAAATTTTGTTTCAATATTTTATTTTATTAATTTATTTATTGATTATTGTAATTATACGTATATATATATAATACATGTGTATATATCTATTATATATATGTAACGTCATTCTAAGTGTATTTTAATACTAATATATATATACTAATATTAGTATTAAAATACACAACGTATGACGTTACATATATATATGTATATATATATTATATGTATAATATATATACATATATTATATATATATATACTTTTAATTGATTTTTAATTTAATTTATTTTTTTACACTTCCCACCAGCAGGGGGACTGTCTGACATTTCAGACAGTCCCCCTGCTGGCAGATCCACAGCCAGCTATGGGGGCCATATTCGCCAGGGGAGGGCTGCCTGGGCTGCCAGAAGAGGATCGCAGCTGAGGTGGGTAGCTGCGATCCCCTGGGGCTCAAAGCCGTTACGGCGTTCTATGCCGCCGCAACGGCTTTAAAGCCCTTTAAAGCCGCGACGGCATAGAACGCCGTAACGGCGTTAAACCAATGCGATGTCACTGTATTGGACACCCTCTCCAAATATAATTGGTAACAGTGTGTGTCTGCGTATCTGCATATGTGCCAGTGTTTGTATCTGTATGTGTTAGTGTGTGCATCTTTGTGCCTGTGTAATTGTATCTATGGGTCTGTATGTGTGTCTGTGCAATTATGTGTTTTAGTGCTTCTGTACTTTGGCAAATGTGTCAGTGTTTGTATATGTGTGTGTTTGTTTCTGTGTGTCTGTGCATCCACATGTGCCAGTGTTTGTTTCTGTGTCTGTATTTGTATAAGTGTCAGTGTTTGTATCTACATGTGTGTATCAGCACTGTGCACTTTGAGGCAAAGGAGGAGCAGGGGAGCCTGGGGCAGAGTATAATCAGTGAGAGCCTGGTACAAAGAAAAAGTGGAGATGTAGCATAGAAAAACATACAAATTTGAAATAACAGCAACTATATTAATTACAAACATTTCGCTAAAATGAGTTGAACCATTAATGTTAATAGGCTGCCAATGGGTACTCAAGTGAAAAAAAGGTTGGAAAAAACTGTTCTAGAAGAAGCAGACACATAAAACACTCTTGTTTGTCCCAAAAGGCGAGAGAATACTCTGGACTAAATTAAAGAAGACTTCAGGTCAGGCGAGGCACATGTGTATTGTTCTCTGCAATCATTCCTTTAGCCAGTCTGGGGCCTTATATAAAATCTTTTGTAATTTAATTGAATGGATTTATTTCCTACCATATAGGAGCTATATGTGACGAACAGAGCCTCATCACGTGTTCTGGGAGGGGCCTGTTCACCAGCCACTTTCCAAAAGACTATGGGCCCTTTAAAAACTATGTGAACAGACTTGGTTCGTGGGATTCTATATTAGGTTCGGGAACCGAACAGCCGCACGAACCGGAGACCACCCTGGAGCTTGTTAAGCCTAATTGCTACTTTGTAGCAATTTCCACCGCAGTGTTCTAAGTTCCGTCTGGGTGGCCACAATTCCCGTGGATGACCACGAGGTGGCAACCATCTTGTTTGCATGAAAACAGGCAGCGGTGTTTGGTCGTCGAGTTCATGGAACTATTTTTGGACACAAACTCCTGAACACCGCTGGACTTCCATGATCGCCTGCGTTCGGTTCTACAACACTTAGAAAGACGCTGTTAGGTGGAAACATTCCCATGAACAAGCGGAACAAGCTCCAGGGTAAGAACCCTGACTCTGTTGGGCAGTTTGTCCGGTTTTTAAACTATCAAATTAGACCGACCGCAAGCCCTGATTCTGTGGAACTGTTTTGGGCATGGGACTATGCAGGCAGTCGGTCAACTTATGACTTCCAGGAAATTCCTGAACCCTTAAACCGATCTAGGTGATTTTTGGATATGTTGGTCACCCAGATCAGGGTATGTAACTTTTGTGGTATTTTATGTATTTTAAGGTATTTTGTAAAAATGTATGTTTTCGGTGCCTGGAGATAATTGAGTTTAATACAGTGGCTGACTCAATTATCTCCCAGGCATAGGGGAGGGATTGACCTATTTTGTATGGGAGTGTCCTGGACCAGAAAGCCAATGTAATCGTGTAAATGTTTTTACTGTAGTCTACTCTCGGGTCCAGCAGGGAGTGCCCCTTGCATGGGGACCTGCATATTAGGCCAGTTGTGGCTGCCATTAAAGAGATTTGTTCATGAAGTCTAGGCTTATGTTTGGGGGATTGGAGAGCTATAATCACTATACTCCCTTGGCTTACGATTGCTCTTGTAAGAGCAGCCTGTGTTGATTTCTGGACTAGGAGAGGTCTACCCACTGGAAGATGCGGCGGTTTGTGGGGTTTACGGTGGTTATGGTGTGCGGTGCTTATGGTACTCAAGGATTACTAGAAAGCAGCAATTGACAGAGGTACCCAGTTGCGGTGCCAGGCAGTCCGTCACACTATACTTATTACAGGGCTGTGTTAGTGCATGTACTGCCGACCAGCAGATAAGTGTCCAGAAGAAATGGTGGAAGCCACCCCATGTGGTATTATGTATTAATTGTAGTGAGAGGGGAAAAGAGCCAGTGTGCGGGTATTTCCATAGCAATGGGCACTGCTGTACCTTTTATTCTCTATTTATTGATACATTGGAAGGCTAACCTTCTCACCTACAAGATGGAGATTATTCGTGTCTGCTAACAGGTGTTAAAGGTGCTTGTTATAGTCACACGGTGATGTTTAAAACACAGACAGGCTTGTTTCATAGACCACGATTGCGACACACTTCAGAATATTAATAAAACTGCGCCAGATCTGCTTTTGACGCAATGCGCCGACTTCTCAGTCTACGTAAGCGTGACATCGCCCGACCCTGACACACACACTGAACCCGGGCTGGTATGGAGACTGCCGGCGGGTTCGACCGGGCCGGCTCCCAAACCCGGCGACTAAAGGCTTACAGTCAGCGTCCGCGGATTGAAGTCTCCGTGCGGACCAAGACACACCATGACCGTGGGCCCCCCCGCACCGCACACTGCATAATGTGGGATCTGTGATTATTCAACCGGTCCTCGCCGGCTTTTAGCGGCTTGACGTCACTTAGGGCACGTGGTCAGCCGTACCACGCCTTTCCAGAGGAAAGTTCGGGTGCTGATTGGACGACGGCGGCGAAGACGTCACGTGACATATATAATGCTTTTCGTGTGACGCACGCGCTCCGGCGTAGCTTTGTGGCCGTGCGTGAGTTGCGTCTCATGCTGCGAGCTGATCACGGCGGATAGACCAGTCAGAGGAGGAGAAGGAGGAGGGGGGAAAGAAAAGAGGAGGTCGGAGCAGCTTCGAGCGCATCATCAGAGCCCATCACACCGCGCCCCACACACGGCACACAGCGAGCTGCTGTATGCCCCATCACCGCCCGCCCCGCGCCACCGCGTCTTCCTAGGAACCGGCTGTATGATTAAGCTACAATCTTCAATGAGTAAGCATAGCCCTGTAAGTATCGTGTCCGCGCTCCGATAACGGACAGCCAGCGGCAGGGCCCAGAGCGGCCTTTGTGTGGGTGGCTACAGGCGCCTGCTACTCGGTCTGTGTGTGATTGTCGCCGAGTGTGGCTCTGTGACCGCTACCGGGCGGGGAATGTAATGGGAGACTCGGTGTACCGGCCGGCCCCCGGCTCTCCCTGTATTACCGGGCGGGGAATGTAATGGGAGACTCGGTGTACCGGCCGGCCCCCGGCTCTCCCTGTATTACCGGGCGGGGAATGTAATGGGAGACTCGGTATTTTGGCTCTCCGGGTGTGACCAAGTTTTTTTCTAATCCCATGTCTGTCTCTGTGCCGGCAGTCTGTCCGTGCCGGCAGTCTGTCTCTGTGCCGGCAGTCTGTCCGTGTCTGTCTCTGTGCCGGCAGTCTGTTCGGCCGGCAGGCTCGGTGACCTTTAAAGGATTTACTCAGGTAAACTTGTCAATCATAGCAAATAAATCCTGTTAATCCAATGTCTCTGCATTATCTCTGTGCTGAGCTTGTCCTTAGAAATGTCATTATGTCTGTGCACATGTGCCTGTTTCCATAATTGTTAAGGATCCATGTGTACCTGTAATGGCACTATCTGGATTTCTGGATATTTGGTGACATGTGCCGGTTCCCAGGTATGAAGGTTAAGCCAATGCACAGTGCTTGCTGCTCACAGATTGGACAGTCTGTCTGCAACACTCACTGCTTTATACAGCTCTTGTTTGACGTGTGGGTTTTCTATAACTGTTGCATTGTTCGCCCTCAGTCATCTGGGTGATAATATCCTCCTCCAGGACCTGTATGGCTGGAAGTGCTCAGACAAGTTGGGTCTTGTCCATAGGATTGCTGTGCTCTTTCCAGTATGGTCTGCAGGGGTCACTAACAGGCTCCACTATTAGGTTACTGTAAAACTGCATGATCTGCTTGTTTCTAGGTGATGGTTTGCTCATCAGGTTTCCTTTGTACAGATTTGACTTGCCTTCATGTCTAGTTACTTTTATACCGGTGTTTGCAGTTTTTGTTTTGTCGTGTGTTATTTTGAAATGCTGTTGACTCTTTAACCGGGTTCATGAACAGAAACTCTTGGCATACAGCAGGGTAGGAGGTTTACTTTAAGTTTAGTTTTAAGTGTGTATGTTCTATATTGGTTTACCAACAATCTTCAAAGGTGACTTTGTTGTAGATGAACCTGCGAGTCAACTGTCACCTCAGTTAAACTGATACACAACTGCTACTAAAGGCTGAATTTAATTTGTACTATGAAGGAAATGAATCTGCTATACTAAGTAGCTAGTTCCTGATCTAACAATACTCCCATAACCGGCTTACCAGACTTAAGTGCTGTAGTGAACTCAGTCCAGTCCTTTAAGAAATAGACTGTGTTCTGTGTAACATTTTATGACAAGTGCAGCAGATATTATTCTGTAAATACATGTGCTTAAAGGCTTTGTGTGTGGAGCATGAATCTCTCATTTGTGGCTATCTTATGAATACGTATTTAGGCAGTGGGGTGTCCCTTTAACAGTTTAATTTTATATGCCTTCCTAAAGAAGTGGGGTTTTTAATGATAGTTTGAAGGAACTTTGGGTGAAAGTAGGGAAGGGAGTTCAATAGGAACAGTGCTGTCCTTGTGAAGACTTGATGTTGGGCATCAGAGGTGCGAGTACGAACAGAAAATATACAAAGATCTTTGGCTGAGATAGTGGGTTCGTATGGAACATACTAGTTACTAGTGAGATAAGTGTGAGCTGTGTTATCTGGAGATTTGAGAAGAATTGAGCCCTAAATCTTACAGGAAGTCAGTGTAAGGACTGCATTCGTTATAGACTGTATCATGACGGCCAGGGAACGCCTAAGGCCACTGAGAAGTGATTTGCTCTAATCAATGCGATAGATGATGGTGGCGTGGACCAGCACCACTGGGTTTAGTCATTAAATTATTGGATACTTTACTCAGGACAGTTTCGACAGTGACATGCAGGGAATACAGAATGAAGCAGGTTGAGCAGGGAATTGGATTCAAGGAAGTCAATCTAGCATAAACAACTCTCTCAAGGATCTTTTGAGGCCAAAGGTAGAGAAAAAGGATGGGAGTTGCAGTCAAGGGTGGATTCTTTTTAGAATTGGGGTAACAGTTGCATGCTTCATGGGTGAATAAAATATGCCAGGAGAGGGGTAGAGATTTAATATCTTGGTGAGGGACAGCGCACAAGTGAGATTTCAGGGAATAGGATGGAAAACACAAATGGTGGGGCTGGATTATAGATGCACAGCGCTTGTGAGTGAGCATAGAACAGGGGAAGATGTGGGTTTGGAGGAAGTATTGGCAGGGATAAGAAAGAGATTATAGGTCTTTCCTTATTGCAGAAATCTTTTCAGTGAAGTGAGTTGACAAGTTTGTAGCGGTCAGGTTAGGAGGAGCAGCTCCAGTGTTGGCTTTTGTATCCATAAACTTCACGGTTTGCACAGGGAAACAATCCTCAATGAAGATATTAAAATCCACATTCTGTTGACTCCTCATCGACCGCACCATTATTGATCAATAATTTCTACGCTTGCGTTGACTCTCCCTAACCAAAGCCACTGTCTCAATATTCCTGTCATATACTCAATTGTCACTCCACATCCAAAACACATTTAGCGCTATATCTCCGCATCTAATTGCTCCCATGCAGCCCATCTGACTTTATTAAATGTCAACCATATACACAGATATTTTGTCATTTTTGAGCTCAAATATTGTGTCTCTTAAAAAGGATACTAAGCAACGCAACTACTGACAACAGATGTTATGCAAAAAGATCTAAGTAGGTGAATCGGAAACATTTGGACCAACTTTGTGAAATGCAAACATTCATCTTTTTAGAAAACTTGCCAACTGGATTAATTTCACAAAAGGGAGTCAAACCTACATTTGAAAACTGAAGTTATTTATTTTATTTTTTTTGCAGCCCACATTATTTTATTTAGCGTCATCGGATTCTGTAGCACTGTAAAATGCGTGGACTAACAGACATGTAATTGTAACCAGACAACTGGACGTACAGGAACAGAGAGCTGGAGGGCTCTGCTCAATGAGCTTACATTCTTAACTTAAACCTTGTTTATTTGGCATGGGTTAGCCTTTGAGTTTGACATGCTTGCCCTAGTGGTAAGTGAAGTACTCCAACAAAAAGTTGTATTATCCTGCACAGCAGTCTCAATGCTACAAGTTATTAGGGTACCGTGCTTCTTTCTCAGTGTAGACTTGTAAACTTGTAAACCGTGTAGAAAACTTCAAATAAAGCAAAAGTTATACATTTGACCATTTGGACAGTCTCTCATGCTGTACATTTTATCAACTACAAAGGCATTTCACAAGGTGCATTGGCCCTACCTTAAAGGGGAAAACATAGTGCCAGGAAAACACTCGTGATGGGGGTTTACTTTAAATTTGGTTTTAAGTGTGCATATTTTATATTGCTTTGTCAACAATCTGCAGAAGAGGTTAAAAACCCTTCTGTCCCTTACCTGAGGGGTCTGCCTTTTCTCCTTTCCCACCGATGTTCGCCAGTAGAGGAGACGCAATTTGCGTGCGTGGCAATGGCCACGCTCGCATTAGGATTTCCCCATAGGAAAGCATTATTTGGGTGACGCTGGAAGACCCCATGCATAATGTTAGGACGTCCAGCGTCAGGTGACCAGAAGTCCATTTTGTGGCTGTCTGGTACAGCCAATAGAGGTGGAGTTAACCCTAGCAGCTAATTTATTGCAGTTCCTTAAAAATTGCAATAATTACCTGCTCAGGGTTAAGGGACCTGAGACTGTGCGCCTAGACCACTTGAGGTGCTGTGGTCTAGCTGCCTATAGTGTCAATTTAAATGGGAACTGTCCCTTTTGTTGTAATTTAAATATAGATAAACCACCTATATGATGTGTTAAACACTATAGGGTCAGAAATACATGTTTGTGTTCCTGACCCTATAGTGATCCTTTAAATCACCAGTCAGACTTGATCTAAATCATGATTTTTTTTTAATGTAAAGGCTCATTCTTGTTGGTTGTTATAATGTGAATGTTTGTAACTAGATTCCATATATAGTATCCATTTTCACATTAAAGGGATACTATAGTCATCTAAACAACTTTAGCTTAAAGAGACACTGTAGGCACCCAGACGTCTTCAGCTAATTGAAGTGGTCTGGGTGATGTGACCCTTTTGCACTTAGTCCTGCAATGTAAAACATTGCAGTTTCAAAGAACTGAAATTTTACATTGCAGCTCTAAGTCTGCCCCCAGTGGCTGTCTACTAGACAGCCACTGGAGGAGCTTCTGGAATCCAAACAAACTTTTAGTCTGTTATCTGACGCTGGACGTCCTCAGACCTACAGTGTCAGACTTTCCCCATAGAAAAGCATTGAATAATGCTTTCCTATGATGTCTAATGCGCGGCTGACGTTGGCGGGGGAAGAGCATGACTAGGGCTTGAACCAGGTAAATGGCTGAAGGGGTTTTAACACCTTTACCCGTGCGGGAGGGGGGTACCTATTAACACTATAATGCCAGGAAAACGGGCTTGTTTTGCTGGCACTATAGGATCCCTTTAATGAAGCGTTTTGTGTATAGATCATGCCACTGCAGTCTCACTACTGAATTATCTGACATTTAGCAGTTAAATTACTTTTGTTTCTATTTTTTGCAGCACTAGCCACACCTCTGCTCTGTGAATCATACAGATTACAAGAAAACCTTTTTAATTTTCCATCACATCTTAAGTTGCATTAATATCATTCTCTGTAAATTTAACTTTTATCACAGACAGACAGCTTCTGCAGGGTCTAGAATGCTATTAACAGAACAGGAGATAAAATCTAAATTTACACTAATGGAAGAGTGAACATTAGATCTCTTTACAGGAAGTGTTTAGAAAAGCTGAGTCACATGCATGGAGGTGTGATTTATAAGGAAGTGTGCTCTATAAACAGTGATTTAACACCTAAAGTGTTTTAATCCCTTAAGGACCAAACTTCTGGAATAAAAGGGAATCATGACATGTCGTGTCTTTGATGGGTTAAAGGATCACTATAGTCCACATTTAATAGCAAGAAAGACAGGTCTCCAAGCCTTCTTTCTTGCTTTTACATAAACTTCCTATTAAAAAAAATATAAATCTAAGTCTTTATCATTAAAACTTACCTTCGTTCCAGCGATGAGATCCCCGTCAGGCCGCGCGTCCTTTTTCGTGAAAATGATTAAGTAGTAGGGCTCAATCAGACGCTTCTCATAGAGAAGCGTCATAGCGATCTGGTGCGCATGCGTGGCTTCGTGCTGCACCAATCCGGTTCTTCATAGAGCCCAAAGTTAGTATTACGCTCTCGCGCGCTCTCTCTCGGAGGTGTTCCTAGTTTCAAATGTAAACACTGTATTTTCTCAGAAAGTAGTGTTTACATGAGAGAGGCTGCAAGGAGCTATCGTTCTCACCTGAACAATTTCATTAAGCTGAAGTTGACTATAGTGTCCCTTTAAGTTAGATGTTTTTGTGGCTATAGTGTCTGAGAGGGAGCTAAGATGGATGTGCTTATTGGCAGTGTAAAGGCATATGTATTTCTAAATTAGATTTTCATGTTAAATATAAAGATAAGTAAGCATAATGTTAAAGATCCTGGTGACCGTTTCCCGTCCTCTTCATTTGCCTCCTTCTTATGATTGGGTGTTGAATACATATTATGGTGTGCAGTTTTACTTTATTTGCACACCACAACTTGAATTTGTGACTGTCATTTCAAGGCTACAGTTGAGGTGACATTATAAAATATAATTAGCAATTTTCACTTAACCGAACCATTTCTGTCTCTACTGGATTTATCGACTTGGACATTGGGCTTAGTGTTGCTGTGAAGTAGATGCCACAGGTACCAGTTTATTGTGGGGGACCTAAATACAGAGTATGTTTGTTTGGGTTCCTACAAAGATGTATTTGCCTGCAGTGCACTCATAGTTAACCTTTTGTGGGAGGTGTCTTGCCCATTGCTAGAAATAGTCTGAACTGACTAACGTTATTGCAGGCTCCCAAGTCAGCTTTGTTTTTGGTGGGCTCTAAATCACGCAAGAGATTGCAATGTCCAGCAGCCAAGGTAACAAATTGCTAGCTCTAATTTTAGATGTTCCTCGTGATCAGACTAAATCAAAATCTACTATTCAATGTATTTAGCTTCTCCTAAATGATTTTGTTTTAATCTTTCCATATTTTCTTTTTCTTACAGCAGTTCTGTGGTGTTCTTGGTCACACATTTATGGAGTTTCTGAAGGGCAGTGGAGACTACTGCCAGGCACAGCATGACCTATATGCAGACAAGTGAACTGTAAAAGAAATTCATTTCTACTCCACCAAGAAACCCCCCTAAAAGTAGTAAACCTTGAAAACAGGTGTTTGATTTTGGAATAGCACTTTGTTTAAGGGGCTAAAATCTGGATGGGGTAAACTTCGGTGCTCTGCATTTCTTTTTGCCTCAGTATTACTGGATTGAAGATTTGCTGCTTCTCATAAGGAGGTTCATTTCACTTCCATTGCTTCCATCCAAGCAAGCACAGAGATTTTTTTTTTTTGTGTGTGGAGTAGAGTGAAGCTGACTTCAGTTGAAGAGCAGATTTTTTTTTTTGATTTTTTTTTTTCAATTTAAGGTTTTAAGGTTTTTAGTTTGGTTTTAACTTGCTGCACGCTTTTTCTAAATTCAAAATGGCTCGTATGAACCGCCCTGCTCCAGTTGAGATAACTTACAAGAACATGAGATTTCTTATTACACACAATCCAACCAACGCAACCTTAAACAAATTTATAGAGGTATGCCTTCTCTATTAAAACTCTCTGTTAATCTAGAAATGCTAACCTTCTCCATTAAATATGTACACAATCTGTTTAAAAGTACAGGTTTTATATTTAATTTTTTTACTGAATACTTATGTGTGAATCTGATTGCAGCCTTGTATGTATTTGATTATATCTTTAGAGGGGCTGGTTATTTGCACCTACTAAAATCGGGTATATTCCTAAAACAGAGTATACAAATTATGGTGAGAATGTAGCAACTGCCTACATAGGATATAGTTGCAATTGAAAAATTGACACTTAGAAATAACTGTTGCACACAAACCTTAAAGCTAGTAATAAAACAATGTGACTATATAATATCCAAAAAACTGCGTGCAAAAACAAAAAAAGTTGGGTAAAGACTCGGACACTAAAAAAAGGATCTCCGTATTAATACTATATGGATATACTTGTGCAATAAGAACCTGTAGAGGCTACCTAATAACTAAATATTGCACTGGGCGATAACTCTCACACTAAATGTTTCTAATCTACTATAAAGAGATTTACTATGAAGAATATTGCATATAAAATATATCACTACTCTGGGAAAAGTAGTGTATCTTCTTTCCAAACATCACTCTTCAATGATCAGAAACTTATTTAAATCAAAATGTACAATCATACATCTACCATAAGATGAGCATTTTGGGAACTGGCAGGGAGCCTCTGACGAGCACCTTTTGTCAAAATGTGGCTCATCAGAAGGTCCCTACTAGCCAGGGATAAATATTTAAAACGGGGGCGCTTAACAATTAAAATCCTTGTGTGGAGTCCAATGGAGCCAATATAAGGGAGAAAACAAAATGGGACAGGAATACTAATATAGTGTGGAGTCTATAACCGCACAGGCAGTATATAAGGAAAAAATGTTCAGCATGTAGGAATACTGATAATAAAGATAATAAGGAATACAATGTGAATTTCATAAATGTAACTTGAGTAATGCAAAATTGTTATGTAGAAGTTTGACTAGGCAGATATTTGTTGTGGTGTCTTTTTGTGTTTACTGGATGACCACATTAGCTGATGGAGATTAATATTGTGAGAGTCAGTTACTCACAGATACTGTTAAATTCAATTCTAGTGCTGTATGAACTCTTGCCAGTTCTGATTTTCAGAGCAGACTGCCGGAGTGACGGTAAAAAATCAGGGAGGCTAAGTAGACAACTTAAAAGCACTGTAAGTATGGGGTCATGTTTTTGGCCTCTGAAGCACACTTTGTACATGTGAGCCTCTGGCAGTGGCTTTTACATAGTTTTAATGCTGTTGCTAATATAAGTATGTGTGTACTGTGCTCAAGACCTGGATATAAAATGTTATATTGATTATGCCATAGAATCTGTCTAGGTGAGTAGAAAGGGTTTTATTATAATGCTGTATTTCCCATACAAAGCAGTGCTAGCAAAATGTTAAAATGTTGCTGTAGTTTTTATTTTTAAATCTTCACTCTTTTTAACGTGAAAATCATTCCACTGCGACATTTTCCCCACTATATGAGGCGATTTTTCAAAAATTCTAAGCACATCTCCTGGTGTGTCTAATTACTTGTGTTGAATTTGTTTAAAATTTTCAGAAAGTATAGGTCTATTAATATGGCAACATTTTCCTTGTAGGAGCTTAAAAAGTATGGTGTCACTACAGTCGTAAGAGTTTGTGAAGCCACCTATGACACCACTTTAGTAGAAAAAGAAGGCATTCAGGTTTTGGTGAGTAAACATGTATTTTATTTATTTTTACTTTTACTATGTTTTTGTGTAGGAAATTGCATTTAATTGGCTTGATGATTTCCTGTGTGTGTGTATATGTGTATTCTAATCTCTTATTTTTTTTTATTTTTTTAAGGATTGGCCATTTGATGATGGTGCCCCACCATCCAGTCAGATTGTAGATGATTGGTTAAATCTTCTTAAAGCAAAATTCCGTGAAGAACCTGGCTGCTGTATTGCAGTACATTGTGTTGCTGGCCTTGGAAGGTAAGATGGTTTTATATGTGTAGCCTTTAAAGTAAGGGGGGATATTCTGTGTACATAAACAGCCACTATAGTGTAAGGATGTTAAATTTAACCTGTTTGATCCAAAATATGGATACTTGTGTCTCAGCCCCTCACTAAGCACAGCTATTGCTTACGTTACCCTTTTTCTTTAGCAATGTTAGGTTACACATAGCCCTACTCTTGATTGAGTCTTGCAAAGTTAAGCAGTCAACGGTAACGGCTCGGCCCAAGTTATAAATCGTTTATATAGCCCGCCTAGGAAACCATTACCAGATGTACAAATCATGGCTCTTGGCAATGTCTTTTTATCTGAGTTCTTCATTATCTCTTTTTAGAAATAACGCAACATCTGTATTTAATTTGGCAGACCGTTTTACTTTCTCCAATGCCATGGTCAAGGTTAGGCAACCATTGGCACAAAAGAGGTTGTGGTCTACACTTTCCCTAGTGCTTTGCCAACATTATGGCTGGAAAAGCAATATCGGAAATATAATCCACAACATCTGAAGTGCCAAATGTTGCCTACCATTGCCATAGGTGCACATGTTCTTATCCCATGTGAGTTTATATGCCTATTAACACATATATAATGTCTGTATATAGTTACAGTATTTACACTTTTCTGGTATTCAGCTGAGATTTCTTGCTGTATACTAGATTTTTTTTGTGGTTTTTCAGTTTTCCATTTCCTTGTGAGGGTGTTTGGTTCACTGTCGTTTACAGTTTAACTACAGGTGGTGCAAAATGTTAACCATTGCTTATTTCAGGGCTCCTGTACTTGTTGCACTTGCTCTCATTGAATGTGGAATGAAATATGAAGATGCAGTGCAGTTCATAAGGCAGTAAGTATATACAATTTCTGAAATATTGACCTATTTAGTTTAACACACAGGACATTCGATGTCACCAACCTCACATTTTTTAAGTTTGATTTTGTTTTTTTTAATACATTTTGTGTGCTTAAAAGGTTACCTGAGATAGCGTATGCAAAATTGCAGGTCCTTATCTTCTGTGTTTACAAAGTTATAAAGGTGCAAAATTAGCAATTTTCACCATTTTATTTTTAATATTTAAACTGTCCATTAATTTATTACAAAGTTCACTAGAAAATGTACTAATTTCTGTGTCACTTGCACATATGGTAAGGAAATATTTTATTTTAAAGTCACTTCACGGTACAGTGGAGTAGAACTTGAATTTGTTGTTACATGCTAATAAAAACATTTGATCCTTAAAGAACAACTATAGTGCCAGGAAAACAAACTTGTTTTCCTGGCACTATAAGGTCATTAGGTGTGTCCCCCTCAGTGATACATCCACTAGAAGCTGGATTAACTCTTTGTAAACATGGCAGTTTCTCTGAAAGTGCTGTTTTAAGCTGCAGGGTTAAAACTAGTGGGATCTGGCACCCAGACCCCACTTCATTGAGCTGAAGTGGTCTGGGTGCCTATAGTGGTCCTTTAATCTTCTCTGAAGTTTAGATAATTACTGCAAACTAGTTTTTACTTACACTAACATAACTTCTTATTTCATTGGCACCCTATGTTCACATTTGACAGTTGGTGTATATTTATTATTTTATTTTTATAAAGACCCTTTTTGAGAAAATGATTGCCAAAATATTGATTCCTAGTATAGACCAGTAATATCTCATCTGGGAGAACTCTTTGCAAAATGTAGCCTAGTACTTCTTAGTTTGTCTTGAATCTTCAAATAGCTCTGGAATTCATATGCTGTCTTCAAGTTTTGTTTTTAAGAGCATCTTTAAAATGCAAACTTGATTAGACACAGAAAGGCAGATACTTTGAGTGCCAATATTTTCCAGTTGAAGGAACACTCCATATCCATTACATCTCACTTGGTTTGAGAGCTGGAGTCTTTGGGCACGGTCTTACCAAAAGCTGCTAAACTGTTTAAAAGCTGACCCAACCTTTCCCCAGCGCCACTGTTTTCCTTCCTGTTCTCATATGAGCATAATACAGTCTGTAGGGGTTTCTGGGGAATGAACGTAAACTAACTTGGTGTGGTTTAACAACTAACATGAAGGCACAAAGGGAATCCCGACCACACAAACTGATGTAATTAGTTTGAGAGTTTTGTGTTCAGTGGACTACATGCTTGCCCCATCTAGTATATAATGCACTTTGGTACAGGTGATGTGCTAGCATAAAATGATGTCAGTTTTTATTAAAGTTTTCCAAAATAAAAAGTTGTAACTGCATCTTTTAAAATTGTTAATGTATTTTCTTCTGCAGGAAGCGTCGTGGAGCCTTTAATAGCAAACAGCTGCTATACTTGGAAAAGTATCGTCCCAAGATGCGTTTACGCTTTAAGGATTCAAATGGTCACCGTAATAACTGCTGCATTCAATAAGACGGTTATAAGTGTATGCTGCTGACTGCAGGGAAGTCCTTCACTGGTTTAAATGCTAATGTTTTAGGTCTAATAAAGCTTTACAAGCAGTATGAACATGTGTAGATGATATCCCTGGCAGGAATGAGACTGCTGTCACATAAATTAATATTCATGTAATTGAGCTTAAATTTTTTTGCTTATTTGTGGTTAAAACATCCCTCCTTGCTCATAACTTACACTAATCATGTGATAGTGAAACTTCTTTCCAACTGCTAATACAAGTATGTTGAGTGGTATATTTGTAGAAAAAAAATGCCAAACTTCCCAGCACATTTTGTAATTGTTGATTTCTTGACATGTTGACGTTTTTAAATATTTTGCTTCCCACTGTAACCGTGGGCATGAGTTCACAGTTGGCCAACTGCTAGCTGTGTATTTGAAGTGGTGTGAGGATTTGCATAACTTTGCAATGTTACACCTGTTCTGTTTTTCCTTTTGATGCTTTTATAGCCACTCTAAAACTGATTTGGTTTAAGTCCATATCAGACTTGCAATGACCTAATTGATGATTGTGTTATAAAAGCACACCTATCACATTTTACAATTCTCCAGACAAAGCCTTACAGTTTGAATTAATGTCCGCACCTCTTGGTGCTCCTTGATATGGAGGATGTTTTTGTGTATGGGTTTTTCTTTTCTTTTTTTCCTAGTAAAATGTTGCCTTTGTCTTGTGCAGGAAGTATAGAATATCTTTCTCTTTTTTTCATGAATATTTTTTTTTAAATGTAGACGCTTTAATGTAGCTAAATCCTTTATCATAAATTTATGAAATTGTCATTATACTGTACATTTGAGTTTTCCAATCATTGCTTTGTGATTTATTTTTATTTTTCTTCTAGAGATTCTGCTACTGCCAGTGCAGAGCTCAATGTCTGTAATATTTTGTAAGCCTTTTGAGCAGTGTAACTTAAATATTTGGATACTTGATAATTTGTTTTATGTAATAAAAACGGTGATCTGTATTAATGTTAGCTCAACCATATATTTATACTGTTTTGGGAATGTGTGTTGTTTTTTTTTTGTTTTTGTTTTTGTTTTGTTTTTTTTGTAGGAGAATAAGTTACCAGTGTTCACCAGCTTGTAAAATCTAATATGGAAGCTAAAAACATCTTAATAAAGAAGGAAATAAATATTTTGCTGGTCTTTCCTATTTAATTGGTTTGTACCTTTCTCATTAAAAGAACAGATTATTTATTTAAAAATGTTAAGGTGTTACAGGAACTCATGCTGGGCACCTGCATATTAGAGAATGTTGCTGCCAGAAATGGGAGGATGTGCTTCCAAGCCCTGATAAGGGCTATTCAAAGGTGGAATGTGCACACAGGCTATGTGCCATTCAACTCTGATAGTAATGTGCATAGAGTATGCACAATACAATCGTGGGAACACACTTTGTGCCACAACCCTATTCAGAATTATTCAATAAATATATTTAAAGCCTTGTTTAGTTACAGCTGCCAGGTGCAAACTAAATCAGTTTTGGAGTGCCGTCACGTTAGTCATGAGCAGAACTTAGGCAATTTAATGTGAGGAAGAGTTTTCCTTAACCCCTTAGGGACCAAACGTCTGGAATAAAATGGAATCCTGACATGTCACACATGCCATCCTTAACCCTTTAAGGACACAAGACAAGAGTAGTAACAAGTGGGTTTAACAACTGTTCCTCAGAGGACATTCTGGTCTTAAGATATAAAATAATTTGCTTGAACATATCCAACCCCTATCTGCAGCTGATATAGACCAAAACAAACCATAGATAACCCATGCCTTAAAACCTTAATCTTTGGGTGAAATACACACAAGAGGTATAAACATATATACATACATATTTTAACACTGTCTTTATTTTTTGTAGAAATTTCAAAAGGTAATAAAGAACAAAACCATATTGGTGCAATATGTTTTTAAAAAGTTACTAAATAGCATTTTGTAACAAAAGCACACTCACTTTCGTGCAGCATGTGGGGACATAAAAAAACATGCAATAGCGTAATATGTATGATAAAGCTCAAAATAGTGTAGTGCGAAGTATTCTACTCACATTTAGTAGAGCATGAACCTAAGAAAAACAAGTTACATGCGCTCTCTCCTTAATCCCTATGTATTTTTAAAACAAATGAAGGTTTTAGTTACCTCCAATGGCCATGAGAGGATAAGCCCACCTGCCAACGTCAAGGCAGACCCCCCCCCCCCAGGTGGGTCTTAACTCTAACCATTCACCTTGCTTCCTTGAGCCTCTGGCGAAAATATCTCTGAGACAGAAATGGGTATTTTTTATATAAACCCCTATATATTAATCCTTAATAGGGAACAAATGGGATGGACGGCAGCATTGTAACAAAGCTGTGTGATTACAAAATGCAGTGGATACAAATGCAGAAAGATGTTCTGCGCTCACTCCCATAACTACTGAGCGGCAGCAAAGACTTCAGTACACATCAGCCCCAATATATAGTAAAAACCAAAGAAAAACAATGTACCTGCGCTCTCTCCTTAATCCCTATGTATTTTTTTAAAACAAATGGAGGTTTTTGTTAGTTACATCCAATGGCCATGAGAGGATAAGCCCACCTGCCAACATCAAGGCAGACTCCCCCCCCCCCAAAGTGGGTCCTAACGCTAACCACTAATCACACAACTTTGTTACAATGCTGCTGCCCATCCATGTGTTCACTATTAAGGGTTAATATATAGAGGTGTATATAAAAAAAAATACCCCTTTTTGTCTCAGATATTTTTGCCTGAGGGTCAAGGAAGCAAGGTGAATGGTTAGAGTTAAGACCCACCTAGGTGGTGGGAGGGGGGGGGAGGTTTGCCTTGACATTGGCAGGTGGGCTTATCTCATGGCAATTGGAGGTAACTAAAAAAAAAAAAACAGGAATTAAGGAGAGAGCGCAGGTAATTTGGTTTTCACTATATATTGGGGCTGATGTGTACTGTAGTCTTTGCTCCCGCCCAGTAGTGATGGGAGTGAGCGCAGGACCTATCTTTCTGCATAGAGCATGAACCTGCTCTGGTATGGTGGAGCGTTGGTGTTAAAATCCCCACGTGGAATATGCAGATGGTAGAGAAAATAAGGAAGCCAGAAAGTATAAACCTTAATCCAAAAATAAGAAACAAACAGGAAAAAATAGAATATCAAAACAATCCAGATTTGGCTAAACACACAACACATTTCAATAAGGTGGTTTTTCAGAAGTGTCATTCATTCGCGAAGAGTCGGTTTATAGGAATCAAGTCTTATTGTTCTTCTTATTGGCACAGGACTTGACACATTTGTTTGGAATCTCGGAGCTGGCTTAAAAAGTTAGGAGCCAGTAATTGTCAACGAGAAAAATGCTATTCTTAAAGGGACACTATAGTCACTGGAACCACTACAGCTTAATGTAGTTGTTCTGGTGTCTATAGCCTGTCCCTGCAGGCTTGGCAGTGTTTACATCGCTGTTTAGTAACCCCTCTAGTGACAGTCACTCAGAAGGCCATTAGCGTCCTGGGTCACTGCTGCACCTGCATGGAGGCACTGAATGTTCCTCAGATTCATTAATTTAATGCATCTCTAAGGAGATGCCGATCTGGGCATTCGCAAAATCCTCACAATGCTTTCCTAAGGGAAAGCATTGGTTTTGCAGAGATCATAAATATTGATAATCTCAGCCATGGAGATGGGACCAGCTGAGGCGAAATTGGCACGGTGTGGGGAAAAAGATGAGTAAAAACACCTTCCTCGTGCAATCAGAGGGGTCTGGTACCTAAACGCACTCATGCTAACAGGCTCACAAACAGTTTTGTTTTCATTGAAACCCACTCAGACTCCCTACCTTTGGGAGAGCTGAGTGGGTCTTTCCCTGGAGTCCAGTGGGGCTGCTCTCTTCCTGCTTGCAAGGGAGCAGTAAACTTACTGCAGCTCCTCATTGTAGTGATGTCATATTCTGGCTCTCGGCATCATTAAACGGAGTGAGAGAGCCGAAAGGAGCAGCACGCAGAGTACTGCTTCCCCGCGTGCCGCCTGCAATGCTACCTCGGCCAGCCAGCTCCAATATTCAACGCAGCGGGCCTTCAAAGCTCTCTCAGCGGCCACATTAACTAAAGAGCTGGTTTATCCCAGACGCCAGGGTGAAATTTCCAGTCGACCTGGCGCCTGGAAATTGTCAAGTGCTGTATTAGCAGGTGTTAGTATTCTAGGAAGCCAATGAGAACCTCTTACCAACGGTTTTCGGACAATAAACCAGAAGTGAAAGATTCAAAGTTTATAACTGATATATCCAGCAAACTTGTGTAAATTAGTGGATTCCAGTAAAGGTGTCCGCCTATCTTGTTTGAAGATCTCATATCTTAGAGATCAGATATAATAGCAAAAGTAAAAGCTCCCCATTATCTGCCTGTCACTCTTGTGGACTGCATGGGCTGCGTTGCATGTAATCGAGGGGTGTGTCAGGGTATTTATATCGGCAGACATCTTGTGCTATGATAGAAATTAAAAGTGTATATGCTGAATCACTTTTGAACAGAGCAGACTCCATTTTGTTATTTTCAAGTTAAGAAAAGACACAAGATTTCTATCTGTAAAACTAACCACTTTCCCAGAGCTAAAGGAATGCATAGTATATACAAACCAAGTGATAAGGAGAACGGAGGTTGGACAGACTGTCTAAATGCTAATGGAATATAATCAATTCTAAACCCAGACATTTGTGACAGAGAAGATTAAATAATTTAATTTTACTTTTTATATTGTATAACCTCCCATTGTAGTTTAAGGTGAAACTTAGTTCACGAACTGCCATATTAGAAATTATAGCAGGAATTGCAGACACTAAGTCTGGACAAAACTAAGAGAAAACCCTTTGAAGTGAAAGAAAACGTAAGTTATGGCAATTATACAGATAAAGCAAAATGATGTCAAAATAGCCACCAAGAAAAGTTAACTCTTTCCTGCATAGGTATGTTTCGTTAGACGAGACTGCCATCTATGGATCAAATACCTAAATTGCGATCTATAGATTGGACACACCTACGGCTTCCTATTGGGTTATCAACTAATGACGTACAGAGAGTCTGGCCCTTTAAAAGTTAAGACAAAGAGAGGAGAAGGTAGACGAGGAATACAAGGGTATACAAAGGAAGCAAAGAAGTGAACAGTCGGAAGCAATGCAGAGAGGCCTATGACAGATATCCACTCTAGGACACTCAGAAATTCCTACACACCTCCATGCAGAGAGACATCCAAATAAGTTCCTGAGACTATCTACCAATCGGATGAAATATCTACTCAACTGGTAATTATATTGGTTTCATTTAATTAAATTAATTAAAATTTACTAATAGCATGATATATGACTGGATAAATCACGGTCAGATTTCCATATTTAGAAATCTTAGTTAACTAAAGAATATATAGTTATAAACATTCCATTCTGCAGGTGGAATTAAGAATAATTATATATTAATGTGATAGTATCACATGTTAGCATACCGCTGTTTTTATCCAGGTGTATTGATTTGCTCTAATATAAGATAAGATATCTTTTTAGGCGAATTAAAAATCTGCTTATAAAATCTGGTAGATTCTCTTATTGGATGGTTCCAGGAAATGACTAATGAACTGGTTTAAATGTTATTTTATTTAAAATTACATAAGAATAGATCTTAATTACCTAGGAGGTCTAGCCAGCATTGAAAGGGTTATTCTAACTGTCAGCTAAACTTTACGACCTGCGTGAAACTTTTTCTTTCTCTCTGTGAAAAATAGTCATAAATCTAGTCTTGACAGAAAATGCTGTTTAGCCATTGAAACGTGTATAGCCATTCCTTTGTATTGCATACCATTTTATACTGGATATTCATTGATTATTGTCACGCATGTTACATATTATTATTATTAATTATTGGTCATTATAAAATAAATCTATTTTTATAACAAATTGTGATTTTATTTATATGAAATACTTTTCACTTAACACGATAACGATCTTTGGGATCTGAGAATTGAATTAGTGGGCAATTCTCACTGTTTACTATTATTATCCCATAAATATCCCCACAGGTGAAAATACATATGTACAAATCCGTTGTAGCCAGTGCCGGATTAACATAGGGGCTGATGGAGCTGCAGCTCCAGGCCCATGGAATAGACCCTACATACAATATAAGGTGGAGTATATAAATAGGAGTTCTTCCAAATACAATTTTCAACAAGATAATGTCCTTTAGTAGTTCCCTAGGTTTTAACACAAATAGGGAAAAAGGAATAGTGAAATATTGCCAATACTCAATATATTTCTGTAGTATATAAATAGTGAAGCACTCACAAACATAGAGCCTCTGGATAGGCTCAAAAATGGAAGCACTGTGGGTGCTTAAGAGGCCCACTCCCTTCTTGTTATAATCTTGGATATCTCAATAACAGGATCTCTTCTCAAAATGTTGTAAAACAATAAAGTGCTTTATTCAATAAAGTGCACAAATTTTTTTTAAAAATCATTAAAAGTGAATAAAAAACCTTACAGTCTGAAGGTAGTCCTTATGGTTGTTTGCAAAACGCGTTTCGCCTCAATATGAGGCTTCCTCAGTTGCTGATTGTAGTCTCCTGGTGGTCCATTTAAATATCCTCCCTTTTGGCGGTTCTTTTCATCCCTTCCGGCGTCCCTAGTTATTAGGGATTAATTTTTACTTCCTCTTCCTAGTTCTTGCGTTCCACCTGTGGAACGCACGTATCACGTAATACGGTCTACAACGTCAGTATGTTTGATTTCTCGTTCTCTTCCGGTTTGCAGCCTTTGCGTTCCATCCGTGGAACGCAAATGTCACGTGACACGCTACATCCATGGCGAACGTCACGTGAGTTATTTAGAGACATTTCTTTTCCAAAGTCCGGTATCTTTCATCAGAGTTCAACATCTCAATTAATAAAAATGATAATTTATCCAGTAGATACACATAAAAAGCCTTTATAATTCAATTATATCTCATATGAGATGGCTTATAATGGGGTTTATAATAACCTCCTTCCTAAAATACATTTGAGGATTTTATGCAAAAACATATGTAAGGATCTGTTCTCTTCTAAATATCCCCCTTACACTAATAGAAGTGTTTAAAAATATATATTTTTCATAAAGGCTTTTTATGTTTTGTATTATATATATATATATATATATATATATATATATATATATATATATAAATACATACATACAGACCGATGTTATAAATATATATATAAATTAATTATAAATTTGATAAGAAAGAGAATTCTATAAGTATATAATAAAAGGACCATTTGTTTAAAATTTGGTATATTATAATAAAATATAATATAAAATACTAAATAAAAAAATGATATGTTAAGAATTGATTAATTAAAAATGACATACTTCAAAATCTGCATTAAGTCCATATGGTGTCAGAGTTTTAAATCGAAAAATAAAACTCATTTCTTCTTTCCCTAAAGTTTTAATATAGTTTCCCCCTCTCCAATCTCTTTTTATTTCTTTTATTGCACAAAAGAACAAATTTTCAGGGTTTTGGTCGTGGACCTGTTTAAAGTGTAATGATACATTATGGGTCTCTAAGCCATTTTGTATATTTCTAATATGTTCTGCTATTCTCACTTTTAAAGGTCTAATTGTTCTGCCAATATACAAGAGAAAGCATGGACATTTCAACATATATATTATTCTTTTCGAATGGCAAGTGAGATGGTCCTTTATAGTGTAAGGCCTTTGAATAATCGCTTCTATATCTTGTAAATGTCTTTTCTTACTCTTAGTTGTTTTTTCTGTATCTGTTTATTACGTCCATTATAATTACAAATGAAGGGGATCTCGTTCTTTTGATTTGTTTTAATTCTTTGTTTATATTTTAAAAGAGATTTTCTTGGTAATTGTTTGATTTCCTCCATTTCCTTCTCTAAATTTCCTTCACTAAATTTCCTTCACTGTACCCCTTTTCAATAAACTGTTTTTTAATGTAATTAGATTGTTGTAAATAATCCGAATCTAGTGTACAATTCCGTCTAATTCTTAACAATTGACTACAAGGTGCATTATTTAGCCATGGGTTGTGATGACAGCTAGTTTTTTCAATATAACTGTTGGCATCAACTGGTTTAAAATAATTTTTAGTAACTATTTTAGATTCTCGAATATTAATTTGTATATCTAAAAACTCTATTTGCTTAGTACTCTTGCGACTAGTTAGGTTTATCCCAAATTCATTGTCATTCAAACATAAAATAAAATTCTCAAGTTCCTCCGTAGTATCAGTCCATATAAAAAAAATGTCATCTATAAAACGGCAATAGGATACCAAATTTGTCCCCCACTGACTCCCCTGAAGGACGAAGGATTCTTCCCAAAATGCCATGAAGAGATTTGCGTAACTCGGGGCAAATTTGGTGCCCATTGCCGTGCCGCAGATTTGAAGATAAAAGTTGTTGTCAAACCAAAAGTAATTATTGGTTAAAATCAATAAAATACCCTCTAAAATAAAATGTATCTGTTCGTCTTTAAAATTTCATCGTTCTAAAAAATATTTTACTGCCATTATTCCTTTATCATGTGGAATGATGCTATATAAAGAGGTGACGTCACATGTAACCATTTGGTATCCATCTACCCACTTAATCTCTCCTAAAGTTTGTAAAAAATTAATCGTGTCCTTCAAATAGGAGCTGTTCGTTATAACTATCGGCTGGAGTAAAATGTCGATAAATTCCGAAATTCTAGTTGAAATGGAGTTTCCCTGATATAATTGGTCTTCCAGGTGGATTTTGAATATTTTTATGTATTTTGGGTAAAATATAAAAACACTGGGATTTTAGGGGTTTCTACAAACATGTAATCGGCTTCTTTTTCATTTAGTATTCCTAACTCCTTTCCTTTTTTTACATACTCTTTAAAAATTATAATAATTTTCTGGGTAGAGTTATAGGTTAATTTCTGATAAGTAGACTGATCTGAAAGTATTCGTTCCGCTTCTGTGATATATTGTTCTTTATTCTGGATCACTATTCCACCTCCTTTATCCGCTGGTTTTACTTTTAGATTTTCATAATTTTTAATTTCTTTAAGAGACTTTTTTCCCCCTAATGTTAGGTTATGCTGATATTTATTAATTTTCTTTATTCTTTCTACATCCTTCATAACCATAATTTCAAATGATTTAATTTCATTAGAGATAAGGTGTCTCGGAAAAAAATTTGATTAATCTTTTTTTATTCTTTATTTTTGCCTCACTTCCACTTGTGAGTATGCAACATATGTTTTTTTCATTACATTGGTATACATGAATACAAGCATATTATTTGGACATTATGCATGAATAAAAACGAAGTGGCATGAGGTTTTTTTTGTATATGTAGGCATGCGGGTCTAACAGGTATTGTTCAACAAAATGTGAATCGTACTCGAGGTACAATATAGCTCTCTCTCACCTTACGACTATGGCACATATGTTCTATACTGTCAAGAGTGGGGAGGGTGGGGGGGGGGTCACTCGAGTGACGCATACCCTCTGTGTAGAGTTAGCAGGATAGCGTCCTAGTCGGGGTTATTTATTTCCCCATTGAGTTAGCAAAGTTTGTAACAGAGGGTAAGAAGGGTCATTTCGGATAAGTAGGAGCTCGGCAACGGATAACTGTTTAACAAATGAAATGAACAGAGAATTAGAGAGTTATGAGGTGTTCAGTATGCAGTTCGTCAGCATACCCCTGCGTATAGTCCTTCAGGCTTGTTAGTGGAGATATCTCCTGCAGCCGGACTATGTGTCACAGGTCAGTCAAGTTACCGGGGATCCGTGGCCAGAGGTCGACCGTGGCATAAAAGCCGGGATCTTAGACGGATCCATGTTGCGAAGACGGGTGGTCGATGTGTCCTGCTCAGGTAGTAGTTTCAGGCTGCGCATTGCGGCCTCCAGTTCTTGTGGGTTCTTGGCTCTGTAGGTGCCTCCCTGGTGGGTAAGTGTGAGTTGTCTAGAATTTCCCCAGCGGTAGGTCACATCCTGGTCCCTTAGGATGCGGAGAAGGGGTTTCATAGATCTGCGCCAGAGTAGTGTCTTTTTAGTTAAGTCAGGGAATATTAACAGGGATGAGCCTTCAAATTGGATAGGGGTTTTCCCCCTCACCGCTGAAGAGATTAAGGCTTTGTCTTGCATGGTTTGAAAGTGGAGGATAAGGTCCGCCGTGGCGGTGTTGGGGGCGTTCTTTGGTGTTGGAAGCCTGAACATGCCGTCCAATTTAAGTGCCTTCGCCTGTTTGGTCGATAGGAGGGTGGAGGTGAGTCGCCTTATGTAGTGCGGTATTTCTTCTGTACTCACTGTGTCAGGGATGCCCCTTAGTTTAAGGTTGTGTCGCCGCCTCTGGTCTTCCAGAGTGTCCACCCTGGTTTCCATGCTTCTCTGGGCCAGGTGGAACTCCTCAAGTCTCTGCTCCACTTTGGTGAGTCTGGATTCCTGGCTACTGGAGGTAGTCTCTAGGACTGTGAGCCGTGTGAGTGCCCCATTCACTGTCTCTTTAAATTGTGCTATGTCGGCTGCTATGTTGGAGCGCAGCTCCGTTAGCATAGATTGCAGCATGTCTTTAGTAATCGGTTTTTGGCCAGCAGGTGGGGTAGGTCGTACCTTCGGCACTGCTCCTAGCATGGCTCCTCCGTCCAGCCCGGCATGGAAGTCCTCGGAGGAGTATGAGGATGTTTCATCCGTAGGCGCCATATTGGGCCACGCTGTCTGGTGTGCGCGCCGCAGGAGTTCACCGATATCTCGGCTGTTAGATGCCCGATCCTCCTTGGGTTTTTTCGTTTTTCGGCCTATGATGGTGTATCCACCTTCTGGGTAGGTATCAGCCCGTTTGCTGTGGTTTGTAAGGGTTAATTTGGCCGTTTATCGTTGGTTTATGTCGGAGCTCTCTAGAGAGGCGTCCGGTCGGGTCCGTTGCTAGCTCCGCCCCCCTGATTAATCTTTTAAGGGCGTATGAAGAAATTCATCTTCCACCATCTCTTTTTTCTCTTTATTATTAAAAAAAAATTTAAGACACAATTTTCTTATAAAATGATTTACATCTACATAAAAATCAAATGCATTAAAAATTGGCAGTAGGAGCGAACTTTAAACCCTTTTTTAAAATATTAATTTGTTCTTCACTTAAAATTTGGCCCGTTAAGTTAAAAATGCCTTCTAGATTGAGGTCTTTTCCCTCCTTTCTTGACATTGTCTCTTTCTTTCTTCGCTTTCTCCTTCTTCTTCTTCTAGTGAGCGTTGTCTCTTCCCCAATGGTTCCCAAAATTGGGAATTTTCCGTCAGTTTCCTTCTGTTTTGGATTAAGTCCCTCCGAAAAAAAGAAGGTGATGGTGGGGTGTCTGGGGGTGAAGTGATGTGTTTATTATGATTATCCAAGGTGGTACTTGTTCTTTTAGGAGAATGTTTTATTTTTTCTGAATATTCAATGGTTCTACCCTCCTTAACTACATTACTATATTTTCTAGTAGAATACTGGGTAATTTGATGTGGTTTCTTTTGTATAGGTGTGAGTTTTTTTTGGAAGATGTGATGTTTTAAATGCATTTGCTTGTCCAGGATTTGGTTTTATGTTTCTTTGTTGTTGATATTCTTCTATATGTGAAGATCTCCTATTTCTCTCCCATATTTGATTCCTTTTTTGTTGTTTTTCTTCTTGGTATCTTTTATTAGGGGATTGTTGTATAGTTCTCCTAGCATTAAAATTTCTATTTTGTGTAGTGTAATGAGTCTGATTGTTCTTTTTCTGAATTATCCTTACATTACCTAAATCGATGATCTGTAGTGTCTCTTAGATATTTTTTCTTTTTGATTTCTATTACATTAGTCTCAATTTTTTCTACTTTTGTTTTAATTTCTTTTAGGATTATACTATACATTTCTGGGTTTGGAGATTCGGCTAGGTTAGTTTGCCATTTATTAATTTCCTCATCTAATTTTGGGAGAGTTTCTTCTCTCCTTGCTACTATGTAGCCCATCATACTGAAGGAAAAGCCATCTAGGAGTTTATTCCAATCTCCCATAAAATGGGGGTCCTCTCTATCTTTATTGAATCTTAGCCCTCTTGGGGTAATTTGATCTCTAACATTTTTTAAGGGTTGCTATTTCCCATTTAATTTTCATTTCTTTAATCAGGGCTTTCTCTAGATTAAATCTGGATTTATCTTTATTTATATACTGATAGGTTTCGTTTTCCATTGCTTCAGTTTCAAAACACATATCAATATTTTGTGTTCGATATTCTCTATTCTCTCTAGAAGGCATATTGGTATAATACTCACTTCAAATATTGTAAGGGAAATAAATAAAATACAGTACAATACAAAGATTTGTGGTGTTGCAATATCCCAGTGAGTGTAACCAAAATGCCCCAAATACTCTAAACACCTTATGTGGGTATTCCCTCTATTCCCACAATAACACAAAGATATATATATACAATATAAGGTGGAGTATATAAATAGGAGTTCTTCCAAATACAATTTTCAACAGGATAATGTCCTTTATTAGTTCCCTAGGTTTGAACACAAATAGGGAAAAAGGAATATTGCAATATTGCCAATACTCAATATATTTCTGTATTATATAAATAGTGAAGCACTCACAAACATAGAGCCTCTGGATAGGCTCAAAAATGGAAGCACTGTGGGTGCTTAAGAGGCCCACTCCCTTCTTGTTATAATCTTGGATTTCTCAATAACAGGATCTCTTCTCAAAATGTTGTAAAACAATAAAGTGCTTTATTCAATAAAGTGCACAATTTGTTTTTAAAAATCATTAAAAGTGAATAAAAAACCTTACAGTCTGAAGGTAGTCCTTATGGTTGTTTGCAAAACGTGTTTCGCCTCAATATGAGGCTTCCTCAGTTGCTGATTGTAGTCTCCTGGTGGTCCATTTAAAAAACCTCCCTTTTGGTGGTTCTTTTCATCCCTTCCGGCGTCCCTAATGATTAGGGATTCATTTTTACTTCCTCTTCCTAGTTCTTGCGTTCCACCTGTGGAACGCACGTATCACGTAATGCGTTCCACAACGTCAGTATGTTTGATTTCTCTTCCGGTTTGCGGCCTTTGCGTTTGATCGGTGGAACGCAAATGTCACGTGACGTATTTAGAGACATTTCTTTTCCAAAGTCCGGTATCTTTCATCAGAGTTCAACATCTCAATTAATAAAAATGATAATTTATCCAGTAGATACACATAAAAAGCCTTTATAATTCAATTATATCTCATATGAGATGGCTTATAATGGGGTTTATAATAACCTCCTTCCTAAAATACATTTGAGGATTTTACGTAAAACCATATGTAAGGATCTGTTCTCTTCTAAATATCCCCCTTACACTAATAGAAGTGTTTAAAAATATATATTTCATAACGGCTTTTTATGTTTTGTATTATATGTATAAATACATACATACAGACAGATGTTATAAATATATATATAAATTAATTATAAATTTGATAAGAAAGAAGAAAGAGAATTCTATAAGTATATAATAAAAGGACCATTTGTTTAAAATTTGGTATATTATAATAAAATATAATATAAAATACTAAATAAAAAAATGATATGTTAAGAATTGATTAATTAAAAATTACATACTTCAAAATCTGCATTAAGTCCATATGGTGTCAGAGTTTTAAATCGAAAAATTGAACTCATTTCTTCTTTCCCTAAAGTTTTAATATAGGAATAGGCCCACTGATATAAAAAAATAAATAAAACTATTTAGGGTTGCCACCTGGCCAGTGCCGATATTCCAGTAATATCAGCAATACAAATGCCGGTATTTTTCTCAGTATAAACAGAGATTATTCTGCAATACCAGCACTGTGTGTGGAAAGAGGCAGGGATAGGAAGTTATAGCATATACCTGCATCTCTCTACTCACTGATCCGCGGGGGAGCAGCTACACAGCACAGAGAGTCCAGACAGCAGCTCCCAGCCTACAGGTCAGGGAAGTGAGGGATGGGGTAAAGGCTGCAAGGAGACATGGGGACACTGAGACACTTGGGGACAATGTGAGGCATGGGGACACAGAGAGACCTCTGAGGAAGCTGACACACTTGGGGGTACTTGGAGACACGGTGACACAGGCACACGTGGGAACACATACACGGGGACACAGACACACTAGGGACACAATGTCCCCAAGTGTCTCAGTGTCCACATGTCTCCAAGCTGGTGTCCCTAGTGTCTCCATGTCCCCATGTCTCCCAGTGTCTCAATGTCCCCATGTCACTCAGTGTCCCCTAGTAACATGGAGACATTGGGCGACATGGGGCACTGAGACAATTGTGATACACAGGAACACTGTGATACATAGTCTCCGTGTCTCCAAGTCTCCCAGTGTCTCCATGTCGCAGTGTCCCCTAGCGACATGGGGACACTGGGAGCAACCCATCTATACAGCAGAATGAAACTAAGTAGTTTTTTGGTGATTTTACAGAATTTTCTCTTATGTTACGCCTTGTGATTTACGTCATGTGATGTCATGCATACATAATTAGTTATGCAAATTAGCAAGGCCTGTATTTTTTTCCAAGAAAGGTGGAATCCCTAACTACTCTTCACATACTCTTGTTTAAGTATAGAAAATTAAGAGGGATATATGGAAACAAAACTTGTGTGGACTAGCTGAAATGAAATTAGTTAAGGTAATGCTTACTTTGCTCTATAACACTGTGGCATGTTCCTTTTCTTCTACACTCACTACAGCCACCTCTTCTCTGTCTCAGACTGTATACCAGGAGCCACTGCCTACTAGTAAGAAGGTAAGGAGACATGTGAGTGCTAGGGTACAGTCCTTAGAAAGCATGGAGCGAGCGCATCATTAGAAGCATTTATGCCAAGTTCAGGATGCTGTTGGCCAGCATGCATTATTGGCAGGCAGTCTGACATACATTCATGCCAGGCTAGCCTTCCAATTCTTTGGACAGACATGCCTCCTTTTTGGGCATGTTCGTCCCTTTCAGGAGTTCTAAATACATGATCTGCGTCAGTGGCCCACCCTTTTACCCCGCTCATTGATTTCCTGCTTCACTGGACACTGCTGCTATGGGGTATGAATTTACTTGAAAGATGAAAGCATGAATTAGAGAGAGAGATTAGCATATTTCCAGAGAATCTGAGTTTTCTTATAGCTGCATCCTATGAGTTTCCCTCCGGCAACATCTCCACCAGATACATAACACTTGAGAGGTAGGACTGTATTAGTGTTTTTGGTCGATAATATTCTGTGCTTAGGCCCCTCATAATGGTCAGCACCAGGCCCACTGTGCTCTTAATCTGGCCCTGGTTGTAGCACTTGGTGTCAAAATGTTTGTGAGGTTTCAGATTTAGACATATAAAGCCCAAAATAGCTGATGAAGACTCCAGATTGGCTCTTGTCACCTGATGCTTTGCCACCGTCTTGCCCCAGCACACACAAGGCGTTTTAGGCTAGGACTATGCTATTTAAAATGTTAAGCTAAATAGCAATGACATTTTTATTTTATTTTAATCTTTAGAATCCCCGATATAAAAAAAAAAAAAATGAAGGTTGCTTAAGCCAAACACTTACACTCCACTAACCTAATCAAACACTGTTCAGTAGACATATCTCAATGAAAGAAATGCATAATTTAGAAGACCAAATAGAAGACTTCCCTAGTTTAAAACTAAGACTGAATCTACCTTCTAGAGAGATTTTTAACTATTTGCGCATTAAGAGCTTTCTAAAGAATCATCTTATAAATTACAATGGGGAGAAAGGAAATTTAATTAAAAAGATCCTCTCTATAGATACTACAGAAAAGAAATATTCTCTAATACTTGATTTATTAAACTATATTAATCGAGCAAATACTCCTACAGCTTTTAAAAAGTGGGAGAGAGAGCTAGACACAAAGGTCAATTTTAACATGTGGTGCCTTTATATATAGCTTGGTGCTACTTCTAAGTGCTGTTTCTAAGTGTGGAGTTGGAGATATTCTGGAGAGTTTTACAGAAGCTTCAACTGTCTAAGAGTTGTGCTAAGAGCTTTCTTTTCTACTGTTACAGGCAAGATTCATCTGTAGGAAAAGGTTACTGATTGCACAAGATTTGAATTCCTGCTGGTAATTATAAGGCATTTGATTAGATTGCTTGCTATTGATTGCTGTTTAAATTAGCCTTTTGTTTGCAAATAAGCAGAGGCCTACCCAGGTGTTAAACATTCCTAGTGGGTGGTGATTTTAGGCGTTATATAAGGCTTGTTGTCATTAGCTTGTCTAATATAGCTTGGTGCTACTTCTAAGTGCTGTTTCTAAGTGTGTAGTTGGAGATATTCTGGAGAGTGCTGTTTCTAAGTGTGTAGTTGGAGATATTCTGGAGAGTGCTGTTTCTAAGTGTGTAGTTGGATATATTCTGGAGAGTGCTGTTTCTAAGTGTGTAGTTGGAGATATTCTGGAGATAACCTGGAGGTAATCTGAGGTATTCAGGAGGATAAATACAAAGTTAAGATTTGTTAGATTTAAATTATTCTCCTAATTGGAATGGCAGACTTAGTTCAGTGTAACAATTGCTATGCATTTGTTTCACGTTCCACTTTTTGGAGGTTTGGTTGTTGTCTAATCTGTAGACAGTGCTCTATCTTGCGGCAGGAGATTGTATTTTTGAAGTCTGAGATTTGTAAATTATCTGGTGAACAAACTCAGACTGGAACTGCTGCAAAGCCACTGCCGATGAGACATACTAGGAATGGCAGGTGGATTACTGTAGGATCTGGTAGACTTAGAGTTGTGGATAAAAGGCATTTTGCACAGTCTGTTGCTCTTCATAATTCATTTTCTGCACTTTCAGAGTGTAATGGTGTTGTGGAGAGAGGCACTGAGGCTAGTGGTGTTGTGGAGAGAAGCACTGAGGCTAGTGGTGTTGTGGAGAGAGGCACTAAGACTAGTGGTATTGTGAAGAGAGGCACTGAGGCTAGTGGTATTGTGGAGAGAAGCACTGAGGCTAGTGGTGTTGTGGAGAGAAGCACTAAGACTAGTGGTATTGTGTATTGTAATATTGTTAATCCCCTAACAACAACAGCTTTCTATTAGGCCTCACCATAGTCTCCAAGCCAGTCTCCACAACACCACTAGCCTCAGTGCCTCTCTCCACAACACCACTAGCCTAGTGGTGTTGTGGAGAGAGGCACTGAGGCTAGTGGTGTTGTGGAGACTGGCTTGGAGACTATGGTGAGGCCTAATAGAAAGCTGTTGTTGTTAGGGGAGAGGCCTAGTGGTGTTGTGGAGAGAGGCACTGAGGCTAGTGGTGTTGTGGAGACCGGCTTGGAGACTATGGTGAGGCCTAATAGAAAGCTGTTGTTGTTAGGGGATTCCATTATAAGAGGTGTGGAGATGGACAATGGTGGTCTTGTGAGGTGTCTTCCCGGAGCTACTGCTCACAGAGACAGGAGACGTATCTGTAATATTGTTAAGCAAGCAAAGCAGGAAGGGGAATTGGATGTACTTGTCCATCTAGGGACAAATGACTTGGCTTGCAATGAGGTTTCAGAGGTTAAGGAAGTTTTTAGTGTTTTTGCCAATGATATACGGCAGGTTGCTTCCACACTGTCATTCTCTGAAGTTCTGCCTGTGCATAACACTCAGAACGACAGGCGGATGCGTATATGTGGCCAGTGTTTGTGCAGCCACATACCAGGACCCTGATGCAGCTTAAGCGGATCCCAGGAACTAGGAGCAGGAATTAAGCAGACCTCCCAGGAGCTGAATAGGGAGGCTCTGCAGCAGGGATGTATCCAGTACAGAAACAAGGCAAGGCTAGGATAGTCACCAAACATGAAAACAAGACAGAACTAGTAGAACCCAGAACCAGAGAAGGATAGGAAGCTAAACCCAGAACATGTACACAAGACACGAGGGAAACATGAACATAACATGGGCATGACTGGACTGGACTGTACATGGACTGGGTATACAAACTAAAACAAGACAAGATATGATAGGAAAAACAAGAGGAGAAATAACTAAGCACTATATATGAAAATCATGATTTAGTCACATTATATGATCATACATTGCATAAGCCTGCCAACAACGCCAATGTACCCCATATCTGGCAGGTCCTACTAATGTATGCTAAAACAACCAAAGAACACATATATAGCACTTACCTGCAATAAAGGGCAGAAGCCTTGAGCAGCTGCCTGCAGGAACACTGAAACAAAAGGAATGATGGAAAACAAATGGGTGTGGCAACATAAAATAAACATTTAAAGGAAACCTGGAGACTGGGAATCCCAGGGATGGATTACAGGAATGAACCCAGAAATCCCAGCAACAAAGAAAACCAGACATAGACTAGAAAACCAGAAAAAAACAAGAAAAACTAAACAAGAATTGTAAAAAGAGTACTGGTGTAGTAGATTATTTTCTGCAAACCAATTAGTTTGAATGACTATCTGTTCCTGTCCAAAATAAAGATAATAAAGTTGCGTGCACGCAGAAGTAAATTCACACTGAGACACAGGGTTCAGGTTAATGAAAGAACTTCGGAAAAGTTTAATGGCTTCTAACAGAAAATGGGTGCGCAGACCCTTATAAAGGCATTTTTACATCACTGAAGAATTCAAGATAACAGCAAATAAACATTATTAATTGGTCCAGGTGTTAAGTGGTTAGTTAGATGCCCTCCCATCAAGAGGTGGTGTCATCCTTGACACGGGAGTGGACACAAGATGTAGGCACCATCTTGTTAGCACGAGGTGTTCACTCGATGGGAGGGGTGCTTTGGCAGCCATTTTGAGTAGTTAGTATTGTTAGTTTCAAGGTTCTTTTAGTAAATACACATTTTATTATTCAGCACATTTCTTCCTGCCAAAGCATTAGCTTAGATAATTTCAAGAATTCTATAATTCTACAACACTGGATACCAGAAGCCAAGGCCAGACATCTCCACAGAACAGAACAGGATGTGACACAAAGGCATACATTAAAACACAAGGATACTCTCTGTCAGACACACATTTTCAGGCACATACACAGGTACACAATGTCAGACACCCTCAGAAATACACACACCTGCACTTATGTATAAATGACTACCGGGCTATGTAACCATACCCCACAATTGTGTATAAACGATTAGCATATTTGCTAATTAAATTATTTAGTTAGCAAATTATACCATAACTTCAATTAGAGAGGTCACAACGCAGCGGCACAGCGATCTGCGACACTGCAAGCCTCTGAACAACGAATACAGAGAGCTTGCTGTATCCAGCGCTGCAAGCTTGGCCTTCAATACAACTTCAGCAGACCCTGTTTTTTTTTTTTTCTTTAGTGTTAGTGGGGGCCTCATGTTTGAGTTTCGTCTAAGGCCTCACAAAGTCTAGAGTCACTACTGGTAGGCAATCTTTGTCAACTTTCTGATTCTTTGTCAGCATTATGACTGTAAGAGCATTATGGGAAATATAGTACACAATATCTGGAGTGCAAAAAGTTGCACACCCCTGAAACTAATCATATTGTGAAGTGTTCTTCAGTCTTAACCCCTTCAGAACCGGTGACGGATAAGGTCCGTCATCCTGGGGAGACCCTTAACGCCGGGTGACGGACCTCGTTAACCCCAAATCGCAGTCAGGCTGTCAGAGCAAGCACATGTGCTGCAGGGACTTACCATCCGCCTCCCTGCACTTCCGGGTTCTGTGTGAAGTGCAGGGAGACGGATCAGTGATGATCTGCTTCCCTGTGTAAAAAAAAAAAAGTTAAATTAAAATCCCACCCCCTTTGCCCCGTTTAAATAAAAATTAACCAATTCCCTGCCAATTGATCACTGACTACAGTGATCGGTTGGCAGGGTATACATTTTACTGTGATCTGATTATTTTTTTTTTAACTCCTGAGGGTCAACTTTTATTTTTTGTAACCCTCAGGGGTTAATTTTATTTTATTAATTAATTAAAAAATATTACAATGGTATATTTAGCTAGCTGGGGTGGGTGGAAGTTAGGGGGGAATTGGGCAATTTGGTGTTAGGCTAGCTAGGGGTTAACGCTAAAAAAAAGTTTAAAAAAAAAAGTTTAAATAAAAACCTAATGCATTCCATACATCGCTATTTGCAATTTATGTGAATTATGGATATCCAAATCTGGCTTATATTGGCAATGTTGTTTTTCTATGGAAACATATGAAATGTAATAGAGGAACTGATTGTATTTTGTAATTTGGAAAAATTTTGAAGAAATAAAAATATATTTAAAAAATTTTTTTTAAAAAGTTACAAAAATGTTTTAATAACATTTTCTAAAAAAGTCAAATAAATCCCACCCTCCTTTACCCAGTCCTAATAGAAATTAACCCCTTCCCTGCCAGTTGATCACTACCTACAGTGATCAAAATACAAATCACAGTATTATACTGTGATCCGATATTTTTTTTTAACCCCTTAGGGTTAAATTATTTGTTTTAACCCTCAGGGGTTCAATTTATTTAATTCATTAATTTAAATATTTTAAAATGATATATTTTGCTAGCTGGGGTGGGTGGGAGTTATGGGAAATTGGGGAATTTACCGTTAGTGCTGCTTACTGCTAGTTAGGGGTTAACAGTAAAAAAAAAAAAAAAAAGCTTATACAAATGTTAAATCTGTAAATAAAAGTTTTAAGAAAGTTTAGGAAAGTTTTAAAAAATTAATAAGCAAAAAAATTGTTTAAAAAGTCAAAAAAAGTAAAAAAAAAATACATTTACAAATGCTCATTACCACTACAACTGGAACAAACTAGAGAAAAAAAATGATCCCACGCTAAGGTTCAAAATACGCCTTTTGAATTACCCCAGGGTGTATTCTTTAATAAATAGTACATGTTTGTGGGGAAGTTTCAATAACAAACCATCTAAACTACTCCAAAATGGAACATGGACACAGCGTAAAACTTCAAAGTTAGAAAAAAACAGAATTGGTGCGTCTCAAATGTGCCCGTTCAACATCCACATATACCTGGCAAAGGTACATACGGGAGTATTGCTCTACTCAGCCGACATAGCTGAGCAACATATGAAGTATTATACAGTCATAGCACACATATGATTTGCAAAATATACTGTCCAAACTCACTTTGTGTGTCAAATAAACTTGTATTACCACTACACTTGGTACAAGCTAGTGGAAAAATTATCCCACGCCAAGGTTCAAAATATGCCTTTTGAAATACCCTTTAAGAAATGGTATACCTTTATGGTGTAGTTGTAATATGTAGCCTGCTCAAGTGCTCCAAAGTGGGACACGGACGCATAAAAACCCTCCATGAAAATTCACACTTAAAAACCTGAACTTGTCACGTCTCTTTTACAGCACTGTAACTTCACAAAATAGTGTCTAGGTCATACATTGGGCATATTGTTTTACTCAGAAGACTTTTTTCCACATATTTTGGCATATATTGGTGAAAAAATGGGGGCATGTTAAGGCACAATATGCACCATATGAGATACCCTGGAGTGTCTACTTTTACAAATGGTAGGCCTTTGTGGGGGTTTTTTGAACAGTCAAACTGCTATAATACCTCAAATTGAAGCATAGGCCCATTAAATATGCCTCTTAAAATTCTACTGTAAATACTGGAAAGGACAGGTCTCCTATATGGCACTGTAGCTTCACAAAATAGTGCCAAAGGGGGGTATCGTTGTACTCAGCAGATGTAGCTGAACACAAAATAAAGTTTTAGCACACACCAACTTTACAAAATACACATGAGAAGTTCTTTGCTAAAGGTTTGTGTGCCAAAAACCAAAAAAAACCCCACAATTTTACTCCAATATTTAGCAGTGAAATGGCTACGTAGAAAGTGTCAAAACAACCTTAGGTAATTAGCCAGTGATGTCAACTTTATATAAATATATACTTTTGTGTGACAATTTTGTTTTAATTTATGGCTATTCATCTTACAAGACAAACAAACCAAATTCTAAAATCGCTCCACATTAAAAGTTTATTTTACTTCTTGTGCTTTGTGACCTGTAACTACCAAAAAAAACTTACATCAAATTAAAGCCCTTTCTGTCCTTTAAAAAACAGTATATAATATGTGTCGGTGCAATAAATTAGTAAAATGCAAATTGCAGTTGAACGCATACAACAAAAAAATTCAAAAGCGTAACACAAGCTTCTGAAGTTGTGTCCTTAAGGGATTAAAGGACTAAGGAACC